AGCCTGTTTTTCAGGCCTCAGGCTCGAAGATTTAATTCCCAGAAAAATGACCATATCTTCCCTTCTAAAATGGGTAAATTAATAATCTTTTTTCTCAAAGCAATGATAAACCTGTGATTTGGATGTAGAAAAGTCAGAATCAATATAGATGTTTTTATTTTAAAGTAAATTCAGATTGAACATGGTAAAACAATGTAAATTATAGTGTCCGTCCAAAAATAAACATTACTTATAGTGAAAACCACCCTTGAATGATGGGATGGTAGACTAAAAGCTTTAGGAATCCAAACTATAACATATAATAAGTACCCTGTATCAAGATTGATGAAAAACAAGTGACATTTTACCTTTTTAGAGAGATTTAGAAAAGAAAAAAAACACTTCTGGGTGCATTTTCAATATCTCTGGCCCCCCTCGGTCGATTTTCATGATTGACATCTCTTTTTAACCGTTAGAGCCAATGGAATCGAGAGGAAGTTCCTAAAATCCATCTAAACATTACCATTGGTGAATGAGAGTGATGCGCAGCCAGCAGGCCCAAAACCGGAAGCTGGGTTACAGCTCTCATACACTTTTACTTGACATAAATGTTATGATGGATTATCAGTAATCATTTCAAAAAGTGACACAAAGACATGGATGGATTAACCTTCAGCAGCGTTTTATGCGTTTTAATGCCATTGAAAACAACTTTGATCAGAAAACAGCAAAGCTAAGACGTGTTTAGCGTTTTGGCTCCGTAAAGCTAAGTTGTGTGTTGTCTGGTTTTGCCTTCTCTGCGGTGAGTTCCGGTCACACAGTGATGATACTTATACCATTGGAATATGTGGAATCTCAGCTTTCAGATGATATCTTGTTTGTGCAGATCCGATGAAGTATAACATATTTATACCGTGAGTTACAGTATGTGCTAATTGCGTTAGCACTCTTTCTCTTAGTGCTAATTCAGAGGCTCAGCGTTAGACTTGTGTTTTGATTTGATAAAAATTGTTCATATCGTCAGGTAGCTGAGTTTTTCCCGTTCAATGGGTATGACACATTCATAGTTTGTTAAATGTTAAGAAGCCCTCAGACGTTGTTTCTTGCAAGCTCCAAGGAAAGAAAGAAAACGAGCTAAAGAGAAGGACAGAGGGCTGGAGGACAGAGAAATCAGCAGAAGAAGACAGACAGGAAGTAAACACTAACGGGAACACGGTAAGGGCTCTGGCAGTGTTTAAAGACTGCTTAATGGACAATAATCAAAACAGATTCAAAAAGTTGGTGGGTAAAACACCTCAATCAGTAAATTCAGCCATCATTTTAAGACATTCCCTCCATGGCCTCTGTACCAAACAAAACAATACATGGGTAAACCATCATTTCCAGGAAGCCGTCTCCAAACTCAGTTGTCCCGTGTGAATTTATCAAGGCGGAGTAGAAAAGAAAGACTGACTCAGGACCTTTGAACAGATTCTGACGGATTCACACTGGATGTAAAAACAAAATAAAACAAATGAAAGAGGACACCACACAGCCTCTGTAAGTGCACCACACTTTACTTCAGCCTTTCTGGGAATACTTCAGCACACAAGGACGCCTTCTGTTCATTTAGGGACAGTAAATCGCTCACGCTGAGCAGACTTAAACAAGCAAGGCTGAACTTACTTTGAAAAGACATGTTGTTGTTATTTTGTCACCATAGGCCAGATCTAGTGGAGTTGAATTCAGGACCTCCAATGTCATGGTAAAGATTTATTGTGAGAGTGGATAAGCGTAGGACATTGCAAAGGGAGAGAGGTGGTCATAGACCCTTGTTTTTTTTAAACATTAGGTATGTCAAAATGTATACAATCAAGCAGACTATGAACACAAGGCTAACGTCAGTCCGCCCTCAGAGTAACATTTGAGAACATCTGTGTTGCAAACTAAAACATGTTACCTCATTTGCATTTTGATTAAATGGTAATCACATTTTAATTGAAGAGAGTAACAATATTTGCATGTGTATATATGATCCTGAGTAAAGAAAATGAAAATACGATGTAATCTTGAAGGTGTTAAACCTGTATGACAATATTAAATGTCTTTCTTATTTTGCGTGAAACTATTTGTGTATAGCTCGTTTCGTGACATGCAGTATGGCAGCAGTCCGGACCGATGCAGACTCGCTGTTGAAATGTTTAATAACCCACTAACCACTAGTTGTTTTGAAACAGCAGTAAATGTGGCGGACCGGACGTGCAAACGGAGTGTAAGTGGGTAAAAGAGGAAGGGTGTCAGGCCGGTTTGGAATTGGGCCTCTAATTCAAGTTATCTTTGGAATTTAAACTTAAGTGTAAGTAAAGCATATTTCAATATACACAATTTCATGAGGGACTTTCCACTTTTCTGGACAACAATAAAGTACAACTGCTAAAAATTCCCCTTTTTTAGCCAGACTTAGAGAAATGAATAGCAAGTGGGAGGGGCTTAAATAGTGAGGCCACACCCCCTAAAATACAATTCTGAGTTAACTGTGGCACACACTTTCATTTTAGCCCCTTTTGACTCGTTTCCTTGTTCCTTTGTTCATTCCACCTTTCTTGAGTTTTCTGTGCTGTAAACTTTGCCAATTCTTTATAATGAGGATAGAGTTTCCATGGCAACCAGAAGGCCCGAGGAACAATCGATCATCAAGGGTCTGCAGACATCCACTCCACTGATTATTCCAACAGTCAATCTCCGTCTTTCAAATCAAGTTGAGGCCAGTGTATTTATAGTGCCTTTAACAAACAGTGAGCAACACTCTGCTCACCAGACAGCAAAAGACACACAGTTCCAAGAAGAATGACGTATTGAAAATACAAAACAAATTCAAGTTAACAAGCTACCGAAGGGTCCGACAGAATTGATTTCAGTAAATTACTTTCACGTTCCCTCGCCATAACTTTTCCTCCCTGATCCATTGGAAAGGTTAGTGTGTTGTCCCAGAAAAGTTAGAAAAGACTGCCAGTTTAGGGAAACAATATGCAGATAATATGCAGAGCAGAAAGGACGTGACACTTTATTGCTGAGAACAAAGTTACTGGCTAGATGAACCATAGAGAGTGGTGCAGTGATGATGTAATTGTATAGGCCAACCCGGAATATAGCAACGTAAAGGTCTCCCTCGTCGAAAGGCAACAGGACTTCCCTGATGGATTTCAGTATATTGCAGAAAATTAACCTAACAAACGTTTATGAATTCTACAAATTTTTTTCAGCAGCTTAATCTCCACATATTTACACAACTTTCAGATTTTTGATGCGATGCAATCGGCAGGAATAAAAAGCTATGCACTCGCATGGCTGCGCATCACCAGCACTAAGCTATTGGCAAACTTGTGTTGGCTTGATGACGTTCAGTAGTTTAAATAGTCACTTGTTAGCAACCGCCGTTTTTATGACACATAGAACCTTCTGACATTCACGGGTATTTACTGACATATTTTATGTCGTCCAACAAAACTTGAAAATGACGTAGGCTTCTTACCACAGATCTTATTTCAGGCTTCTAATTAAAAACATGTTGAAAAAAATGTTGACTTTAAAACAAGGGAACCGAAAGGTGTTAAAAGTATTTTCCGGGTTTTAGGTCTCATTTACTTCACCACTGTATTAAGAACTAAAAGTCGAGTTTCATATCTATACTATCACCAGTTTTGACAAGTATCTTAGTCCAGACAGTATCATGGCAGCGTCCGCCAACCTACTTCTTTGATATGGAATAAAATATCTCAACGGACTGCCAGAAAATTACAAAGGTACAATCATGATCATCAGGATGAATCATACTGACTTTGTGGATTCTCTTGACTTCTAATTTGAGCGCCAACAACAAACAACGTTTTCACCTTATTGTAAAATATCTAATTAGACATTCATGGTCTTCGGATAATGTATCGTGTTGGTAATGTCTTTTACTTCCATTGACTGAGTCCACCAATTGATATTTGTGATGATGTTTCTTTAAAATAGTTGGAAGAATTTACATTAAATACATAAGAATAAACACTTACACTTAGTTTGCAAATAACAAGAGTCAGGGAGTCTGTAGAAAGTCCTTAGAGGAAGTCTAACCAGGGAACAGAAGTGTTCAAATCTGTGTCAATATATTCGTATGGTGCTAAAGGGGCTTAAGTGTATTGTACATTTCATTTTGAGTGCTGCCCTAAACACAATAAATACTTGTGGATTATCTCACTTTCCGCAGAACGGGGTCTCCAGCTGTGACTCACCAGGAAATCTCCCTTTATATTATCTTTATGCCTGCTGCCGGTATAAGTATGGATGTTTTATACCTCCACAAAAGGTTTTTCCTCATCCATCGTGACAGCACCAAGCCAACAGAAGAAAATATGCTTTCACTAGACGAAAGGTACAGTAGCTGGGATGTACCAATCCAAGAAACAATGCTGAAAACAAGCACTGCTTTCCTGGAGTATTGACGACCATCAAAGCTGCAAAGTAGGACACCGGGTTGGGGTCGGGTGGGTCTTCATAAAAAATCATAAGGACTGCTGTTTTGACACGCATCAAATGACACATTCTGGGTCAAGAAAGTACACTTTGGCAGAAAGTATGATTTATTTTGCTATACCAATAATGCATCTTTGTTTTGTTTGCTGCAAACAAGTGTGACAAATAGTTTTTTCTGCCAATTGCGAAAATAAACTCCAGTAGGCCTGGCTGCAGACGTAGTTTGTTTCTCATTGAAGAAAGCTGTCCTTCCTGGCTGGTTGATGGGCTTGTAGCTGTTACACACCATCTGTGCTCCAATTATCAAAAAGCCTTGCTTAAGCATCCATGTGGAGTCTTGATATGCTGAAGCAAAGCTTTCTTTTGCTTTACTAATTGATATGTTAGTTGGTTTGGTTTGGCTCATACTGAGGTGGTCATTGATTTGTTTCCCCTAGCAAAGTAAAGCATCAACACAACAAAACAATCATTTGATTGTTTTAGCGAGACTGAAGCAAGGGGTAGCAATTAAAAGGACGCTATTGTGTTTTTTGGACGTCCCCTTTCCTGTAGTTTTTTACATGGTTTGTGTGCATATACAAAGTCAGCAAAATTCTAAAATCCCAAAGTTCCCTCCAGAGGCAGTTTCTCTCCCAAACACCAACCCCTCTGATGAAAGTACGGGACCAATCACAACAGAGCAGGCCAGCTAACCAATCAGAGCAGACTGGTCTCTGGTTTCAGACAGAGGGTGAAAATATGTGCTGCAGGTAGTGTGAGAAAATAAAGAGCTTTTGAACATTAAAGCATGGAGACATGTCCCAGTAGAGACACTACATACTGATATACACCTAAACATCAGCAGGAGAGGACTCTTTAAAGTAGAGATACTACATACTGATATACACCTGAACATCAGCAGGAGAGGACTCTTTAAAGTAGAGACA